GGGGGGGAGAGAGTGTGGGGGGGGGTGTTTGGGTATGTGTGTGTGTGTTGGGAGGCAGTACTGCACACATCAGCTACCCAGCTAACTTACTTTCCCATTCCACTTCATAACTGGAAGACCCCAAGTGAAGTAGACTAAGGAAGGATAACGACAGAACTTAGTGGATTTCACACAGATAATGTTACCCTCCTGAAACCAGAATTTGTTCAACATACTGATTTTTTAATCAGCACTGGAGCTTAAATAAAGAATTACACTTAAGTTCCAGAACTAGTTGGTATCTGAAAATATGACCTGATTTGAAGGGTGGTCACAATTTGACAGTACAATTTATTAGGTCAGGGTTAGTCCCAGACACTCCAAGGGAGGCTCTGAGCTTATACTGCTGACAGCACTAAGCAGAGAAGAGGCCCTTCCTTTGGTCCTTCTCTTTGACACCAATTGGGGGAGGAGATAGTGATTAAGGAGGGGGAGGAAATGGATGGAAAACCTTACAGATTTCAAAATGGTAGTACTTTTCCTCCCTTTTACCTTGTCCTGTCCTTTCAGTGCATCATATATGATAATTTTTAAAAAATATATTTTTTATTGATTTCAGAGAGAGGGAGAGGGAGAGAGAAACATCAATGATAAGAGAGAATCATTGGCTGCCTCTCACAAGCCCCCTACTGGAGATTGAGCCCGAAACCCGGGCATGTGCCCCCACTGGGAATTGAATCGAACCGTGACCTCCAGGTTCATGGGTCAACGCTCAGCCACTTAGCCACACTGGCCAGGCGTGATTTTAGATTTGAAATGAAAATTATTTACAATATTTCTTTTTATTCTTTATTACTTCTCTTTCCCCAAGTTCAGAAATGTCTTTGTTGTCTATATTCTTATTGGAAACTTACAAGGTTTTCTGGTTTGTTTCAAATTTTACTCAGCTGTCACATTTTTGCAAAAAAGCTCCCACAAAGTGAAATGCCAATGAGATCATTGCCAATTTAGGTCAGTATATTTTTGCATATGCAAGGTAGTGGATTGGGAGCTCTAGTAGACCCACTAATTACAGTAGAAGTACTCAAGTTTTTGAGAATTTCACTTGAAGTGAAATTCAAGTCCATAAACGTTTTAAGCTAAATTAAATTATTCTGGTTGGTTATTTTCAAGTTGTATCAGTAGCTTCTTTTCTACATTCCTTATATCATCTAACTGCCAGAAGCTGGGGGGTTGGTATCCAGTCCACTTAACTGTCTGAGGTTATGACTTCCCTAGGTTTTTATACTTTTCCTCATATATAGACTGATGGTGATTTTTAATGACATAGATTCTCTTTTATAATTTAGTAGTAGGCTCTAATTTCCTCTAAGCTCATCTAACTAGACTTCATTTTGCCCTTTAAAACACACTTAGATTATCAGGGTGGAAGTATAAAATCTCTCCACCTGTTATTGAACTCCCTGGTTACATCACTATAGCCTGACATTTGCGAGTACCACCTGGTGCTTTTTTGCTCAAGTATGCTTTTCTTTGCTCGTTCATTCTTTTTACAAAACAAAGGCTGTGATTTCTAGCATTTCTAATTCCGTTTTTAAACTGCTTTTTCCATTCCAATATTTTAAATGCAGGGTGTGTTAATCTTTTGAGGGTTCCCCTTATCTACCCACCATTTTAATTAAAAAAAAGTTTTCATTGGTTTTGGGGGTGGGGAGAGGAAAGGAGAGAAACATCGATCAGCTGCCTCCTGCACTCCCCCTACTGGGGATTGAGCCCAAAACCTGGGTATGTGCCCTGACCAGGAATCTAGACAGTGACCTCTCCTTGCATGGGACAATGCTCTACCAACTGAGCCACAGCAGCCAGGGCTCTACCCATCTTTTTTTTCTTTTTCTTTTTTTTTTTTTTTTTAATATATCTTTATTGATTTCAGAGAGAGGAAGGGAGAGGGAGAGAGAGATAGAAACATCAGTGATGAGAAAGTCACTCATTGGCTGCCTCCTGCACCCCCCTCCCCACTGCGGATGGAGCCCGGAACCTGGGCATGTGCCCCAATCAGGAGTCAAACTGCGATCTCTTGGGTCCTAGGTCGATGCTCAAGCGCTGAGCCATGCCTAGGCGGGCTCTACCCATCATTTTTAATGATTTGGATTCTTAATGTTAAGACAGACTGATTGCCCTATCATCACATAATCAGGCTTTGAATTGTTGCCCTTAGAAAAGAATTAGAGAATATTCAAAGCAAAGAAAGTTGAGACGGACAACCAAAGAAAGAAAAGGAACCCATGAATATAAATTCATAATGAGAGGACAAGTTGTAAAAAGGGACTATGGGGAAGTTAAGGCCTTCTTTTGCAGCGGACCTTGGTTATAACCCTTCCTGCCAACTCTTTATTTCTAATGCATCCTTTGTGGAAAAAGTCTGGAATGTGTTTCTGATTTAGAAATTAAAAACAACTTATGGGCATTTTTGGTTTCTTTTAATTCTACTTTTTAATTTTAACAGTTGCATTTTGTATTCCCATAATTGTTTTTTATCATCAATTAACTTTGTAACCCATTTCTAGAATTGAGTGACTTGTGATTAATTTTTGTGCTCCTGTCCCTCCCAAGCATGTTGAATGTAATTATACTGAGTTAACTTTTGTGACCCGCTTAAAAAGAAGCATTCTCCTTCATGTAATAACATTTCCATCTTGTACGTTTTTAAAGCAGTGTTGCTTTATATATCGTAAAGTGGATTTTAAAACATTACTCTGAATCAGTGCTTCCCAACTTTTGGCTTGGTAAAAATTACTGTAAGGAGTGCACATTCTTTCATGCACTGAGTAGTACCAGGCTACTCAGTGAAGTCTTCCACATTTAAGTACTCTCTTATTATAGATGTGATTCTGACTGAAACAGAGATGTAATTACAAGCCATGTATTTTTACTGAATAATAAAAGCATAACAATAACCAGTGGGATTCTTTAAAATTTGCTGATTCCTTTTTAAAGGAATCCTTGAATTTAAAAAATCTAATTTGGTTTACTGACCTCACAAATTTACTCACTGGTCCAGGTAGCTTTCTATAGGAGGAGGCATGGGATGAGCTCCAGTGTACATGGGAGAAACTAGGGCAGACCTAACAAGTAGCATACCCAGTCCCACTTGTGTTCGCAGCCTCTGCCTGTCTGGCAGGAAGGGCTTGGTGAGCTGTATTGTGTGCCAGTTGCAGTCTCCTTTCACTCGCAGCTTGTTTTTGCTTCATCCTTTACTAGGGTAGAAGAGAGCTACTGCCCCTTATGTCTCTACAGCAGTAGATCAGATGAGCCAGGGTCTCTGACTAATAGAAAAGTAGTTAACTGCTGTTGCAGTTTTAAGTTTTGGATGGTTATATCAGAGTTTCTACGTTCCTCAGTCAAACACAGGATAGGTGTCAGTCAGCCACTGCTACACAGACGAGAACATTGAGGCCTATACCATGACATGCTGCCTTTCAGTATTTTTTAAGGAACTACACGTTAGAAGTGCAGTCATTTACCTCTTAATGGGTTGAACATAACTACTTCTTTCAAAGTTCCCTGTGTTAACTGAGCTTGATGGAAGTGAAATCTTTGAAGTAAGGCAACCCTAATGATAAAAATGGAAAGGCGGCCTGTGAAATTTGGGAACCTTCAGAGATACAGTTTTAGAGTCATCACCTAAATATTGAAATACCACCATTTGTTGTTTGGAGGGATGAGCTAAATTGAGAACGGGAGCAGCACATCTGCCTTGACTGCTAAGCATATCCATCTCTGCTGCTCACCCACAATAGAATTTTTATGTGTGCATTCATCAGTCCTGGTTTTGGCAAGGTTACAGGACGGAGAATGAGGAGGCTTCATCTGCTTTCTCTGTCCTTCCTCACTTGTTTGAGTGTTTGTCCCTAGCAGGCCCCAGTTCTTTTCCATTATTAGAAAGGTCAAACAGCTGAAAAGACATTATTTTCTAGTACTCTGTCAAGAGGCAAAATATTATATTCTATTTTCACTTTTACCTTTTCAATTTTCTGGCAAATTAAGATTCAGAGTTAGTAAAGAAGTCCTGCCTTGTGCCATCTAATGAATGTCACTGAAGCAGCAATTTTTAAAGTCTGTCACTCTGATGAGAAGGCACACTTGGCTGTCAACACCATCAAGAAAGCAAGGTTAGTCAGGTGCAGGTAGTAAGTAGTATGTGAGCAGTAAGTTTCTGATGTCCAGTTCTTGAACCAGCTTGCCTCTGGCCTGCGTCTGATGGTCTGAGCTGGTGGTCCTCCTTATGTGACTATTCTGAGGTTAGTTTGGACCCAAGCACTGTGCTCATTGCTGTCTTTGGTACCTGGTACTTTGGTACCTAAGTTCAGAGCAAGGCTAACAACCCAGTTCTTTCCAAAAACATTTTCAGACCACATAAGGTGAGTTTTTTTTTTTTTTTTTCTTCCAGGTAGTTTCAGGCTTTGGGGGTCCTCAGAAACTGATTTGCAGGGAGAGGAGTTTGGAAGATGTGAAACAAGTTTGTGTTTCTTCTGCTCTGTTAGCCACTGCTGTCTTCATGGATCTGACACTGTTTATCTGACAGTGCACTTAGTACTGCTTCGCCAGGGAAAAATCACACAAAACAAGCCTGGCGCATCAGCACTTTCATTGTGTGCTGGGCTGAGCCTCCCTTCACATGGTCGCATCCCCCTTTTAATCCAATGCTCCCTTCCCCTTCCCCAGTACTGCCTGTTTCTGTGGCACTTATTGCTGGTTTCCCTGAGCTCCTGTTTCCACTTTGTGTTTTTTGTGGGGCCCAGGAAGCTAAAGCTGTGTGTATTTGTGGATCAGACAAGTGCAGCAAGTTAATATCATTGGCTTCTGAAGGGGAGAGTGAGGTGATGGCTGCGTTTAAGTTGGATTTCCTTCCAGAAATGATGGTGGATCATTGCTCTTTGAATTCCAGTCCCGTGTAAGTATTTTTGATGTCTAATTTTTTATCATAAGCAGAGGAGCTGGGTTGTTTTCTTTGTTATTTAATGTAACTGGTTCCTTTCCTTAAAAGAGAAAAAATTGGGTGAGGAAGCCAAAATCCATGCTGTTGTTACTTTCTATTAGAGTCTGCTTCTATCTCATGACTGCTGATTTCCTCAAGGCTGTAAGTTCTGTACGTAAGAGGTACATTTGATATATGACCAGCAAGTGTGCTGGCTCCTGTCCCTCCAAGCTGTAGTGTTTTCCATATGGTAGGTTCTGAGGTATTTTTTTAACTGTACTTTTATTGCTTTAGGTTGGGTATGTAATTTCAAATAATCTTTTGGGAAGTTATTTTTAATGATCAAATTCCTAGACTCATTACAGAGGAGACTGGTAGACTCATCACAGAGTATGTATTTAGTAGTATATGCAGGATGCTGTATTGACATATAAACTGTAATTCTGGATTTTGATTTCAGTTACTAATTGAAAGTGCTATAATACATGATTTGGGATATATCAGCTGCACCCCCCCCCCATTGGCTCAGTCTTGATTGGCAGCTTGCCCAAATAAATTTTGAACACGGTAATGAGAAGCCTCATCAGTACTGCTCAGGAAGTGACACAGCCGTTGTACACAACTAAAGCACTAACCTGGCCCCAAGTTGTAGCTACAGGGAACCTGAATTCTGGGCTTTGTAGAGAACACATTTCTTTCTTTCTTTCTTTCTTTCTTTCTTTCTTTCTTTCTTTCTTTCTTTCTTTCTTTCTTTCTTTCTTCCTTCCTTCCTTCCTTCCTTCCTTCCTTCCTTCCTTCCTTCCTTCCTTCCTTCCTTCCTTCCTTCCTTCTTCCCTCCTTCCCTCCTTCCCTCCCTCCCTTCCTTCTTTCTTTCTCTCCCTCTCTCTCTCTCTCTCTCTCTCTCTTTCTTTCTTTCTTTTTTTAATATATCTTTATTGATTTCAGAGAGAGGAAAGGAGAGGGAGAGAGCTAGAAACATCAATGATGAGAGAGTCATTGATCGGCTGCCTCGTGCATGCCCCCAACTGGGGATTGAGCCCGCAACCCAGGCATGTGCCCTGACCGTTCCCGACCCTGATCGCCTGGATCCTAGGTCGACGGCTCAACTGCTGAGCCATGCCTGGCCAGGCGAGAACACATTTCTAATTCCTGGTTTCAGTTACTTTAACCAGGCTTCAGAGCATCTTGGAATCTCAAGTAAATGAGTCTAGGTTATTCAAAGCCAAGAATATTAGATGGTAGAATATTCCCTAGATAACACATGATAGTTGCAACTGTTTGATTTTAGGCCTCCACATGCAAATAAGGCCACCCTGGGATTGGATGTAACAGATACGGATAATAGCAGATTCCAAACAGCTCTTCATGGAATAGTTTGGGGGTCCTCAAAGTTAGTTGGCTTGCTTGTTTGAAATAAATCCTGTGCCTTCCCTGTAGTCTCAAATAATAGTAGTTTAGGTCTATTTATAAGAGTTCTTTACTGCTAAAATTCTATTGTATTTACTATATAATAAAAATATTCCTATGTACCAGATATATGAGCCTTAGAAATAGGATTTTGTGGCTCAAATTATCTTTCATTATAACACTTTCTCTCTCTGCTTTGCCACTGCCTAGTGTTCAACCCTTAGATACAGCATTTTTCCTCAATCAGTTTTCTCACCTTTTTTAAAAAATATATATTTCTATTGATTTCAGAGAGAGGGAGAGAGAGAAACATCAGTGAGAGCCATTGATCAGCTGCCTCCTGCACGCCCCCTGCTGGGGATCGAGTGGAAACCTGGGCATGTGCCCTGACCAGGAATCGAATCGATTTGGATCATAGGTCTCTCCTAGATCATGGGTGGATGATCTAGGCAGGCAGTTTTGTCATCTTTTAAGAGGTTGGACTGATTCAGCATCTCATGAAGTCTGGACCATGGAACACTGCATAAAAGTTACCTGGAACATAAAATTGCAGATTCCTGGACCCCTGCCCAGATATTCTTATGCTAGAGTAGGGCCTAAGAATCTGTGTTTTAACAATGTCCCATGTAGTTTTCACATACGCTAGAGTTTGAGAACTAATGGACTGAAGATAGGCCATTCTGAATTGAGGTAATCAGGGAGTACACTGTTATATCATTCTTTTCCAAGTGCATTCACATCTGTTTTAGTCCTCTGTCTTCATAAAAGCTTTTTGAGGTTAATTTGGAATAGGTTATTGCCCCTATTTTACAGATGAGAAACCCAGTTGAGGGGGGCTAAAACTGACTTGCCTGAGGAGAGTTGGTGTTAACCTTGGGCCTAAAATGCAAGTTTAATGATATACTCTATTTTTGCCCCTAGACCAGGCCTCAGCTGTCACTGAACAGAGTTACCCATCAGTTCTTCTCATTATCGCAAGTCCTCGGGCCCGAGTAGGCACCATATACCAAAACACACACCTCAGAGTTGGGAAGAAGAAAGTTCTTGAGAATGGAGTGTGCTTGCCGCCTGCGGTTCTTGGGTTCTAAGTCCTTTACACACAAGCTACTTTAGTAGGAGGCTTGACATCAGTGATTTTCTCTCTGAAGTAATATTGCCTTGGAATGTGATCTAGCAGGGTATCTCATTTCCAATTTTTTTTTTTCTTTTTTAAAATATGGAACGCTTCACGAATTTGCATGTCATCTTGCACAGGGGCCATGCTAATCTTCTGTCGTTCCAATTTTAGTACTGTATATGTGCTGCCGAAGTGAGCACTCAGCATTTCTTTACAACAGAGAATTGGTAGAGGAGCTGTGGAAAGGCCCGGGGACCTGAGCCCTAGTGCCTATTCTCACTTGTAACAATGTCCTTGATTTCGCTTTGACCATTCTTCAGCTTCCACTGGTTCCTCTTATTTTGCTTGCCCTGTAAGACATGGATGTTCTCCAGGGGTTGATCTTAGCTCTCTTTTCTTAGCTCTCCCATTGCTTAGGGGGGTATTGATGTGCTTTTCTGATTCTCACATCTTTATATGTATCTCGTCAGTGTCCCTGAGCTCTGTGACTTTGTTTGAGAAACTGTTCATTGAGTATCTCCATCTGAAGGCTTCCCCAAGCACAAACAATCCCTCATTGTCTGCACTAGAATCCAGGAGCGATCAGTAACTTCTCCCCTTCCTCATCTCCTTGATGGAGTGATCTCCAAGTTCCAGTGGGTTCTCCCCCCACATATTTCTCTCTCAGCCTTGCCTACGACTGCTTCCTAATCTTAGGAGCTAGTTTTTTTCAAGAGGCTCCTGATCTCCATATTTCCTCACTTTATCTCATCCTCTAGATTAATGCCAGATGTCTTTTTAAAGACAAATGTGATCCTTGTTTAAACATCTTGGAATAAATCCCAGTTCTTTCGGTATAACATGGAAAGCCCCTCGCTGGTTCTCTCCAACCTCTCTCTCTATTCTCTTTCATTTTCTAATGTACATATTTTCTCTTTTTTCCTAATATTTTAAATTATTTTATACTCTCCCCTAACTTTTCTCTTTCTAACGTTATCTCAGCCTTTTCTCCCTTCTGAGACTTGCATACTTCATGCTATAGCACTTTTCCCAGCTGCTTAGTTCATTCCCCTTAAATTCCTGCATACAACTACTCCCCTCCTCCAAATAAAATAAAACTATTAGCCACTTTTTTTCACAGAACTTTGATTAATTTGTTAAAGCATTTGTTGAGTATTATAGTTGCATCCTTCCACTTGTTCAGTGCCACTGCCTCCAGGGCAGAATTGCCCTGTCACTTCAATAGATCCTTATAGTGTGTAGTATCTGGCACATTGTAGGAGCATGGAAAATACGGTTGAATGAACAATAAGTCCTGTGAGTTTTTTTAATAATTAGAGATGATTACAGAGATAGGCACTCCAGATATTATCTCCATACCTCAGGGAAGGACATTGAAAACCTTTATAGGCGGATTGTTAGCTGTTCTGTTGTTGAGTAGTGACTTAAAAACCTTTATGGATAGCTTTCTGGTACTTAATACCCCAACTAACACAGGAAGAGCTCCCTTTATCCAAATGAAAATTACTTCCTTCCAGCATAGACACATTCTGTCTTGTTCTCACTAGAGAACCAGCTGGTAAGTAACTCAGGCCAGTGTTGCTGGGTCCTTTTTATTGTGATGTTCTTCTGTGCCAGTTTTTCCACAGCACAGTATGTGAGCCAGAGAGACCTGGTGGGGTGGGTGGTGGCTGGAGATCAGGATGCAACAAGTATTTATGCCTGCTGGGAGGTGGAGAGATTGGTAAGTGTCTGAAATTTTTCTGTTTATAAATGAACAAAGGAGGTCAACAAGTAATGAGAAAGAAGGAGAGAGTGAAAAAATGAGTAATGAAAAGGTTTTGAAAATGGTTTTTAAACAGGTGTGAAGGTAGTATTTAAGGGTTTTCTTATAAGGACACAGGTGAACTCGGCTGTAATGTAATCAGGAACTCTGCAGCTGGAACACCTGGAAACTGCTTTTCTGCTTCATTCCTGCTTTACGTGTGCTGCTGCTGCTGCTGTTACTACTCTTCATCTACCCTATAACTTTGGTTCCAGCATGGCTTTCTTAGCCTTGCCCCTGCCCTTCCACCCTATCTTCTGATTCCTCACTCTCTCTCTCTTTGTTTCATTGAGATATAATTCACATAACATAAAATTTACCCTCTTAAACTGCACAGTCTGTGAATTTTACTATATCCATAAAGCTGTGCAATTATCAACTAATTGCAGAAAAATTTTATCACCCTAAAAAGAAACCCTGTACCCATTAGCAATCATTTCCTCCTCTCACTCCCCCCACCTCCGATCCCCATTCCCAGGGAACCACTTTTCTCTTTTCTGTCTCTATAGATTTGCCTATTCTGGATGTGTTGTTATAAATGGAATCACACAATATGTCGCCTTTTGTAATTGACTTCTTTCACTTAGCTTGCTTTGAACTTCATCTGTATTGTAGCGTAACCCGTTATCTCTTGCTGCTGCCCTTTTATCTTGTCAATTTACACTCTCTAGTTGCACCTTTTCCACTTCTGACTTCACCACTAACTGCCTGTTTCTGTTAACCAGTTCCAGGTTCTTTAGAGCATTGCTGTGCAGTAGAGCTTTCTGTGATAAAAATGTTATATATCTCTGCTGTCCTGTGCAGTAGCCACTAGTCACATGTGGCTAGTGGCTATTGTCTTGCTCAGTGCATCTGTAGAGGAACTCGATTAGTTAGGCCTATCTTCCTGTTTTAAGCATAGGTAATGGTCTTAGGTTTCTTGCCAGCCAGTGGATCAGCTTGTTGGGTTAAGTGTTACCCCGTGGTCTAGTCAGCTGGTGCTGGGGAATGAGAAAGAAGTGGGTTTGGGCTGGGAAGTTTCAAGACAGGGAAAGATAGGAGAAAGAGAAGAGAGTTTAGGAATTTTGAATAGATACGTGCTTTGAAAATAAAGCTCCTTCTTTTCCCTTCCCTGTTTCTCTTCCAAGTTGGTTCTCTGCTCTGTTTTCCTATAGCATGTTCCGTGAAGAATCAGGTAGACAAGGCAGCCTCTGGCCCTAATTTCTCAGTTTCTCATTTTTAATGATTTACCAGTTGCCGCCATTTATTGCTTCTGCTGTCTGAAGCAGAGCATAGAGGTGGGTTGGTGTCATGCCTCTCCCCTAAAACACCTGCTGCCTTATCTCCCTTCTTCCCTCACTGCTGCAGACCCTGCTTTTCCTCTCTTCCATCCTACTCCCAGTTCAGTACCTCCACAGAAGATAAGAATTCTACAGACTTGCCTTTTAGAAATGACAGGTACACTGTAGCCACTTCTCCATGGCGCTGCTGAATTCATTGGCTCTTGAACAGGTATAATAAATAACACATAATTAATGATCACTGACCCTAAGGAGCCCTCCACCATTGGGAGGTAAGGCACAAATTTGAGAGTGGATTTAGTGATATGTAGAGTAAATGCCATACCTGAATGATGTGGGATCCTTGTATCACACTGGGCATATTGTCCCAGGTGACTTTTTATGCAGTGGAAACTTTTCATAAGGACGACATCCATACTGGAAGTATGTGTGGAGGGTTGAGGATGGAAAAGCAGTGTTACTCATCTCTTCAGACACAGTTAACAGTTGATGAAAAAGTTTGTGACTGCTTATTACATAAACATGTGGTTGCATCTCCCTTTTTTAGATTATCTCTAGCTGATGTTACTTTTATTTCTAACTCTGTCTTCATGTGCTCCAAATAAATGTTTTTCTTATTCATCTAACACAGTGCCTGGCCTGTGTAAGTAAGTGCCCAGTATTTATTGGAGGAAGGAACAAGAACAAACCAGTGGATAACTCCAGTTGTGCATGGTATCCACAGCATCATGAGCCTGGCTTGAAAATTTACTCTGCTCTAGAAGTGCTTCTCAAACAGTGAAGGACCATGTCCTGCCCCCCAACTTGTAAAATACAGTAAAAACAATTGAGTAGAAAAAATAGGGTGTAAATCGCATTTTGTGTGTCTTTATTATTATTACTATTATTATTGGATTGAACATTACAAAATTACTTGGTCCAATTGCTGTAAAAGTTTCTGAGTTAAGTTTGAAGATTGCCCCAATCCCTGGGCATTTTGAGTGCACTGTTCTTGGGGATTCTTCTAATGAATTGGTATTGAAGTGGGGGTGTTTGTGGAATAGGTGGAATGAAGACATGGAAAACTATTCGGAGAGTAAAGAGAGAAGAGAGCATTTGTCTGGAACGTTGTCTCCACTGAACTTTTGGATAAACCACAGTCCACATGTGTTGACTGTGTTTATGCTTTTGCACTAAACAGTAATGTAGAAAGTTTAGAAACGGCACACAAGTATAGATGGAAGGGACAAGCCGAAAGCAGTTGCCTACAATGTAATGCAAGGTAATAAAGACCTTTTTTCTGAACTAGCTGTCAGCTTCCATCCTCAAAACATTCTGAGCACCATTGGGGGTCTATATTAACCCTCCCTAGAATAGAAATATGATTAAAGATTAGCAACATTTTAATAAAATATTAGAATTGGTAAAGTTGTTGGGAGCAGGTTGTAGGGAATGATACTCATTGTTTCACTAGTCATAGTGCTTTTATTTTTAATTTAAATTTATTGGGGTGACACCAGTCAGCAAGATTATGTAGGTTTCAAGTGTAGAGTTCTATCTATAATACATGATCTGTATATTGCATTGTGTGCCCACCATCCAAAGTGAAATCATCTCCTGTCACCATATATTTGGCTCCCTTTACCCTCTAATACAGGTAGATTGATCCTGTGACAATCAAGTAATCATAGGAGATAATAATAGTTGCTCTTTAATTTGTGAACCCTCTTTATGCAGAGCATTCATTTTTATCAGGGTTAGTTGCTTAAATAGGGGAATTGTTGAGAACAAGAAATTTCTCCCATCCCACATTGAGTATGTACTTACTTTGAACCAGGCACTATACCAAGTGCAGATACAGGAATGAATAGGAAATAAAACAGTTTCTGCATTCAAGGAGCCCTAGACTAAGCTAGAGTATGGGGAACCTCTACGGACAAAGCAACAAGAGCTGGTCTATATGCCATTTATCTGAACAGCTTTCAATAATAAGTTAATGCTAGATTTAGTAAAGGTGATGTGAGAATTGCCCCTGTGGGTGTTGTTACAAGAGATTTAGGAATTAAAAGATAGCGGTTGAGCTGCTTTCATAGATCCATCATTCTCAGTGGTCTTCAAATACTATTCAAAAGATAGCAGTGGTGTAAAAACTTGTGTTTCCTTTAATGAAAACTATTATTTTATTTAGGGTTAGATATTAAAGCATGGCAAATTTGAATATGATGATGTGATTCAGGATTAAGCAGCAAACACTAGCGGAAAAGTTAATTATGATGGCTCTTTGGAATTTAAGTTGTTACTGATATAGATAAGATCTTGAAACGGTGGTACAGAAAGTCTTTGATTTGTTTTGATGGTGGAAATATTCGTAGTGCAAGAATCCCCCTAGGTTCTTGGCAGTTGCAGGGGTAGCAATGAAGGTATTAAAATATGAACATTACAAGTTTGGTGTGATAGGATTGAGGAATTTGTTGTCTTTGTAGTGGTTGTAGTTGGTAAGGGAATAACTGGTAAAGTCTTGGAAAAATAGCATTAAATTGGGTAACATAGAAACAATAAAAGCCTAGAATGGTGACATCATTGTTTATGTTTATATAACAATCACTTGTTAGAGTTTAAGAGGCAGTTGTGTTTTGGTCTGGGGGCCTACCTCAAGAGCACCAGGATTAGCACAATAGACAGCCACATTCAAAGACCAACATCTAGTCAGTCCTTAGCTTGGGCCTTGGAAATCAAGTGCCTCTGTTCTAATGTCTACTGAAAGGAAACTTTTTACCTATCATTGTATTATTGAGAGTCCTGAATCTTGTTCATAATTAATAGTCCTTTGTGTTTTTGTGAACATTTTAAAAAGCTTTGTTAACTACTCTTAAAATTATTAAAATTTGCTTTGGGAAATTTACCTCTTAAGTTCTTCTGAGAATTCTCATACTAGACAAGGAATAAGTGACACTCAATTTCTTAGTTAAAACCTAGGGTATCCGAATCAGAATGGCGACTTTAGTTTGGGATCTAATTCTAATGGAAGGGGGCGGCCATGGTGAGGGAGGACCAGGGAACTCTGGTAAATTGAATGGAAGTCATAAAAGACAGATTTCCCCCCCTGCTTTTTCAGGAGATAGTTGAGATCTTTAAAGCAAAGAAAACTCCCTCTGGAAAGCAACATGAGTATATAATAGTAGTTTTTTATCTAATGCAGCTCAAAGAAAATGAACGGCACCCTGGACCATCCAGACCAACCGGATCTTGATGCTATCAAGATGTTTGTGGGCCAGGTTCCGAGGACCTGGTCTGAGAAGGACTTGAGGGAACTCTTTGAACAGTATGGTGCTGTCTATGAAATCAACGTCCTAAGGGATAGGAGCCAAAACCCTCCTCAGAGCAAAGGTGAGGGTTTGGGTTTTATATGTAAATTTTGTCCTGTGCATGCTGTCTCTCATTGCCAGAATGTTCCTATGGTCATATGGGGGAGGGTGGGGAATCTGTTCTTTTTTAGTAGCTATATATTCCAGCCCAAACACATTTAATGGCTTAAGAATAAAAAGTTAAGATGACTTCGTGAGGATGATTTGTAAATTGGATCTTGTCCGTTAAGTAAACCAGCCACATAAAATTTTCTTCAGTGTTTTGGCTAGGGTAAGCTAATTCTAATGGGAGGGGATGGCCATGGAAAGAAGAAGACTGTCCATGTACCCATGGGTTTCTGTTAGTGTATATAAAGGCCTTGCAGGATGGCTTAGCAACTAGGAGGGCCTTGTTTGTAGGTACCTGTTTGCTATAGCCTATAAAATAAACAGAAGAAAGGCTGAGCTGCTTCCAGATATACCCAGCAGAGTAGAAATTTAACAGGACTTACGGTAGCTAAGGTGTTAGCTTTGCCCCTCCACACACACAGATTCAGAGTGATTTTCTGTGAAAGCTGTTGTTCTATAGTACAAATGTGAACAAGCATGATTGTCACGTTTGAAACCAGTTTTATAGCAGGATCTAGAAGAAAGGAATTAATTTCCCTTTTTGCCATAGTTAGCTCAGTTGGTTAGAGCGTCGTCCTGATAGGCCAAAGTTGCAGGTTTGAACCTCGTTCAGGGCACGTACGAGAATCATCTGATGCCTGGCGTGTGTGGCTCAGTGATTGAACATCGATCCATGAACCAAAAGGTTGCCAGTTGGATTCCCGGTCAGAGCACATGCCCAGGTTGGGAGCTCAGTTTCCAGTGGGGAGCGTGCAGGAGGCAAGCCGCTCAGTGATGTTTCTTTTTCATTGGTGTTTTTCTCTATCCTCTCTCTTTAAAAGTCAATAAAAAAATTTAAAAAAAGAATCAGCCAATGAATGCTTAAATAAGTGGAACAACAAATCGATGTTTCTCTCTCCCCCTTCTCTCTTCTCTCTCTAAAATCAATTGAAAGTATTGTAATTTCGAAATGACTGGCAATATAACGTGCAGTAATTTAAAATCTTATTTGCAGAGTGATTTTTAAAGAAACGTGTATCGTATCTCTTGCACTATGAACCCAAGATTTACAAAATACACCTCCTCCCTCCTATCCCCAGCAAAGACACAAAGCACAAAATTTACAGATCTCAGTCAGCAGCATGTACTGTTAGAAGCTTAATTATATTTGATGAGAACCAAGAGTCCAAAAAAAGATACCAAGAGGTTCTTGCTCTTAAGTCATTTTATAATTTAATAAATGGTAATTATGTTTGAGGCATATGGTAAGAATTGTCTACAGTGTAAGGAGTAATATATTCTGAAAAGAATGTGTTTCTGGTAGACAATGAGCCGCGGTGTTTAAGGTGCCTGTCTGTCTTGTTTGTAGCCGAGTCCTCTTGCCCAGCACACTACCTGGTCCTCCAAATAGGGTGGGTTCAATGGCTTGGTCATCTTTCCCAAAGAAAAGAAAGCTAAGAGCAGCTAAAGAAGAATTTTAATAGAACTAAAAGACTATAACAATAAAGAAAATTCGTAGGAAAAGTGTGTTTTTCCCCCCTCTGCTAGGTTCATCCCCTCCCCCGCCCTCTCGCTAATTTTAATAAACCCTGCCCTTTTAAAGTTCTAATACAGGGCAGGGCAAAAGTAGGTTTACAGTTGCTCGTATGGAAAATAATGCAATAATTAGTAAATAATAAGACAAGAATAAACTGTGTTTCACATACAACTGTAAACCTACTTTTAACCCAACCCTTTATGTCCAGGGAGGACTGAGTACTCCAGGAATTCTCTGCTTTCAGAGGACTGGTTTGATTTTGTGAAATCTTGTTTATTGCAGGGTGCTGTTTTGTTACATTTTACACCCGCAAAGCTGCATTAGAAGCACAGAATGCTCTTCACAACATGAAGGTCCTCCCAGGGGTAAGAAAGCTCCTACTAGTGAGTGGGAAGTGTGGTGGTTTTGACTTAGTGATCAGGTACACAATGAAAACCATTTGGTGGAAAGAGTAACTGCCACAGGAATGGATGTGAAGGGGACTTCCAAAGGTGATAGGCTGAAAGTAGTTCTTTCTCAGCCAAGAGGATTTTGACTTCTTGACTCAGCATTCTATCTATTCTGATATTTTGCGGGGCAAAGGTCATGAGGCAGATGTGAGTTCAAGAGAACTCTTACAGGCTCTAGTTTTGGTGTTCCTTGAGTCCTAACTCTTTATTTCTGAAAGCCTTCAGTGTGTACAATGGTAATATTCATGTGTTTTCCTTTTCAGATGCATCATCCTATACAGATGAAACCTGCTGACAGTGAGAAGAACAATGGTAAGCAAGCATGTAGGCCCTCCCCTTATCAGGTTTCTTCCTAGTTTGCTGTTCTCGTGGCATCTGAGTTGCATTGTGCTCTAATTTCTTTTTGAGGTAGAATGGACATACAGCATTACATTAATTTCAGGGTACAACATAATGTTTTGATAAGTATTGTGAAATGATCACCACGGTAAGGCCAGTTAACCATTCTGTAACAATGTTATTGTGGAAATACCATACATGGTTACAGAAAACTTTTCTTGTGATGAAATTTTTAAAAGATCTACTCTCTTAGCAACTTTCAAATATGCAATACAGTATTACTAACTATAGTCTCCATGCTGTGCCTTATATCCCCATGACTTACTTATTTTATAATTGTAAGTTTGTGCTTTTTGAGCCCCTTCACTTCCTTTGTCCATCTTCCACTCACCGTCTCTGACAACCATCAATTTGTTACAGAATGGTTATGACCTTTCACAAGGTCATAAAGCTACTTCATTTCATCTAAGTGCTTCCAATTTTAAGATACCATTGTTTATAAGAGGAAGGGCTAACTATGGGGGGAAAGGTATATCTTAGAATCTGTGAAATAGGGCATAAAGGCACCAGAGCCAGGGTTCAAGCCCATGTGCTCTTGACTCCTGTGCTCTACTACCTCTTGCAGTAATAATGTTCAAGCCTTTTGTGTTTTACTCTCTTAGCAGTGGAAGACAGGAAGCTGTTTATTGGTATGATTTCCAAGAAGTGCACTGAAAATGACATCCGAGTCATGTTCTCTTCATTTGGACAGATTGAAGAATGCCGGATATTGCGGGGACCTGATGGACTGAGCCGAGGTGGGTACATTTTTAAGCTTTAAAGATACTCATCTTGCCCTGGCCGGGTAGCTCACTTGGTTAGAGTGTTGCCCCGATACTCCAAGGTTACAGGTTAGATTTTTAGTCAGGGCACAAACAAGATTCAACCAATGAGTGCATAAATAAGTGGAACAAAAAATTGATGTTTCTCTCTATGTATATCTCCCTTCCTATCTCTTTAAAAATCAATAAATAAAAATAAATTAAAAAGATGCTAATTTTGAATTTGGAGTCTCTTTAATTGGACCAGTGACCCCTAGCCAATACAGCTCTGTCATGGTGGAGAGGTTGGTGTTGGTGGATTCTGCCCTTCAGTGTCATGTATTAAAATTCTCTTCTTCTATGCTTGGAAAGGTTTTTGATGTCAAAATGGAAGCACTCTTCTCAGGAGGAACTAGAGGCTAAGAATCCTCTTTTATCCCTCAAGCACTTTGTTTGCTGGGTTTCTCTGCTTCCTAGGTTTTTCATTATAGCAGTTATCACCCCGGTGTGACATAGTTCTCCCACTAGATCATGAACCCCTGAAGGCATCTAGTGTCTAGTCCATACATATTGCTTGCATGGTACTTCGCACATAGTTAAGTGCTCAGTTAATGTCTTTAAGTAAATAAGCAAATGAATGATTGAGTTATTGACCCTTCTCTTACCAGGTTGTGCATTTGTGACTTTTACAACAAGAGCCATGGCACAGACGGCTATCAAGGCAATGCACCAAGCACAGACCATGGAGGTAGGGAGCAGATGAATACAAGGGGGAAGTTCCTTAGCCTGAGAGTGCTAGGGCATTTGGCCTTCAAAGCCCAACAGCATGTATAGCATCTGGTTGTCCTGAAAGTTAAGCAGGCCAGATGTCTTAAAGTTAACAACCGATGGTTTCTTTAACATATTGGATATTATTAAATGAACATTAAAATGAGCATATTGGAACTAGTTGCCCTTTTAAATTGTCTTTTGTCACGTGTATCCGGAAGGGAATTATTTAACAGTGAATGAAATTAGAATGCAACCTGTGTGTCACTAGAAAGGATTTTTCCTTCACCCAGAAGGAGGAATTTGACCCTTACTGGTTTTGGTGTTTTCATAGGGTTGCTCATCCCCCATGGTGGTAAAATTTGCTGATACGCAGAAGGACAAAGAACAGAAGAGAATGGCCCAGCAGCTCCAGCAGCAGATGCAGCAAATCAGCGCAGCATCTGTGTGGGGAAACCTTGCTGGTCTAAATACTCTTGGACCCCAGTATTTAGCAGTGAGTCTTTGTGGTTTGCTTTCTGCAGACTGTGCAAGCTCCCAGCTGTTTCTTCTTTTGCTATCCCCAGCAAACAGACGCAGTGGCATTTACAACTTTTAGCACTTTGAAATTTTATGTAAAAGTTCAGGCAGTGCAATGTTCTTTAAGTCATGTTCTCGTCATCGCTCTGGTCACACATCTTTGGTTATATTTTGAGACTTTGATTATATCTTGAGTTAAAGTGAAATCATAATTTCTTGATAAAAAAAGATTTAGAAACATCTCATGCCCCTGCCCCCAAGAAAAAAATTCCTAAGGGAATCTTAATTATGAAATATCTTTCTATCAGACCTTATTGAGTCTCCCTGAAGAGTATGATAAATGTTTCTTTCTGCTGATTGAGAGATCAAGCATTGACATTATTAAATGAGTATTATAGGTGTATATTTGAGTTTTCTATATTGTAAATAGATTTCTTTTAATTTGCTCTCTCTCTCATTGAATTTAAGTCGTACAGTCCAAAAGAGGGGCAGGCTCCATTTTATTATTAAGATTTACTAGGTCTGCAGTATTATAGGAGATTTTCCCTGCTAAAACCGTTAAAGGAATTGCAGACAGGACACTATAATTAAAACTGTGCCATCTGCAAATCAGAAAGAACAGGTCATCTGTAAAGCTACCAATGAAAGAAAATAAAGGGTGAAACCACTAGATTTATATGGATAGTCCAAAAATATACACATAGGAATAATTATTGTCATCTACTGCTATTCCTTTCAAATATTATCCTCTATGGAAACAGAAGGAAGGCAGTGATTTCTGTCCCCCAGTACTGAATTTTGACTAATTTGATGCCTCCTAGTCTCCATATTTCTAGTATGTTAGACGGAATCCCAGTTTATCCTTGCTAATATTTCTCAGAAGTCAAAAAGTGAAGATGGTGGTTCTATTTCAACAGATCACATTGTTCCTAATGCTAGAACATTCCTTAAAAGTTTAGAAAATTCAGAGAGATTTTAGTCTTCTGCCAAAATTATAATGCTTTGAAAATGATCTCCATGATACACATTTACTTCTTAGAGAGTTTTAGAGCCTCTTTTCAGGGAACACTCCCCTTTTTTTTGTTGTGCTACATCCAGCAATTACCTGATGCTATATGGTGAGAGCTATGGTCTCTTTAATTTAGATGTGATCCCCTCCCTAAAAGCTATTCTCATTTAAGGAGGAAATGAAGGTGATAAATACAGTATGCACAGTCCACCAGCTAGGACTGAACACATTGCCCAAGGTGTTTAAGAAGACAAGTGAATTCGTGGGTGCTAATGGGCTGTGTAAGTGATAGTGCATCAGCATTCATTATGAATTTTTTTGTGGGGCTGTGGACCCCTTTGAGAACCTGGTAAAAATTGTGTGTGTGCTTTTTTTTTCCCATTCTGTTTCTGGAGGTTTGTGGACCTCCTGAAACCTGTGGATTAAAGGGATTCAAGAGAAACCAGATCATACGTTTATGGGAATGGACAACAGGTTGCATAAAGGATCTAGAAGCAAGAGTACCAGTTGTTCATAAGGAATAGTGATTGCATTTGAATGGAGCAAAGGTTTCAGCAGGTTGGTTAGATAAACATTGTGGTCAGCTAAGATGCAGAATAAGGTCAAGGTCATGGAGATCCATAAACTGGTAGATAGGTCTTCTTGTTTCATTTGTTATGGGACATCCATTGAAAGAATGTGTACACTGAACTGATATGGACTGATCCATCAATCATTTGGTGATCTGCACCAGTGAAGTCCAATTTGAAGGGGAGAGATAAATGGCTCAGTGGAGGTGTAGCATGGGAGAGATTGATCTAGTCATGGGTCTGTCGTGGCTGGTAGAGGGTGACTCTAAGAAATACCCTGAAATGGTCAAGTTTGATTTTTAAAATAGTTGTTTGAGGCCTTGGCCAGGCAGCTCAGTTGGTTAGAGCATTGCCCCGATAAGCCAAGGTTGCGGGTTCAACCTCCAGTCAGGGCACGTGCAAGAACCAACCAATGAATGCATAAATAACTGGAACAACACAGTGATTGGTGTTTCTCAAATCAATCAATAAATTTTTTTAAATGCTTAAAATAGTTGTTTGAAATAGAGTATCCAGATGGAAACAATCTGCAAAATAAGATGTATGGACCTAACTAAGGAGAACTTGAGATAGAGGAAATAGAAATGCAGTCATCCATGTGCAGACACCCATCGCAGTCATTTATATAGCTGCTTGAGTTGAGCTTAGTTCCCTGCTCTACTTCTGTCATCTTTCGTGCTACATTCTGTTGCCTGGGCACTTGAGCTTGGTTCAGTACTCAGTGAACATTACTGTCTTCTGGGCCAGGGCTTTAGCTGTGTTGTTCTGTGCTGTCATAAGCCGTATGTTTCTGTTGTGTTGGCTTGGGTTCTTGTCTTCAACGTTCTCTCTGGGGGCCTCTGCACTCTCGCTTTGCTGTGCTGTAGAGTTATCCCAGATGCAGAACCAGCCCTCACTCTCACTCTTGTTCTGTTTTTTGGTGTAATGTCTAGCTTTATTTGCAGCTCCTTCAGCAGACTGCCTCCTCTGGGAACCTCAACACCCTGAGCAGCCTCCACCCAATGGGAGGTAAGTATTTCACTGCTGTGGAGGAGCAGCAGCAGCCAGGCCATCAGACCCAGCTAACAACAGTCTGAAAGCTTGGCACCGTTTGTGCAGAAAAAAAATTTTCCACTCATGTAAACCTGACATGAGATGAACATCCCAGAACTCAACTGCCTTGTCTCTAGAAAGTGACTCTGTTAGTCATTGATGCCAGATTGTTCTGGGGTTGTCTACTGCTCCCCACCCCTGTAAGTATCTGTTGAGGAAGAAGATGGAAAAGAGCTGTTAGCACCTGCAGACTACCTGAGGCTGTTTTGATCAGAAGAAAATTGCAGGAACCCTTTGTTTCTACAATAAAGTGACTTTTCCAGTGAATCTGAAGAAAAGCCTAAGGTGGCTTCCATGCAAATGGCTTACCCTGAAGTTGCTAAAATCCAGGCAGTTAGTTTACCTCTGTGTCTTACACATGTTATTTCATAGGTGAATTACCTTTTGCTGCCATTAACATGCATGGAAAACTTAATTGACAAATACCTGAGTTTATAACAAAATGGGGCTCCACAGACAAACCTGAGGCAGGGTCCATCAGAATAGTTAGTGGGTGAGGGGAGGGATGCTCCAGCCCTGCCTGCCCCTGCCTCTTTGGTTGTGGGACAGGGCTAGGCAAGTACATTTGAGAAAGGGGTGGTCTTAGGTGAGCTGCATTTACCATTTGAAAAATGATAGTGGTTCACTTTGTCCCAGGGACTGAGACAGTTGCTAGGTTGAAAATCTGTGTTGTAGTTTTTATTCTCATTAACTCTTCACCCCTCTGCCTTTCATCATCTACTAAAAGGTTTGCAACACACTGTCAGTGCAGTTCAAATTCCTTTTAATTGTTGCCTAGGTTCTACTTGGAAGCCTTTCCCTCAGTGTTTTCTCTCTCCTGATGACTAATCTGTATTCGAGTGGCGGTTTTTCTTTATTATTTCTCCTCTTGCTGTTTCCACACGTATTGTCTGTTGTTCCTCCCTTCCTGGGTCTCTGCTACATTTTTTGCTTGTTCACCTCCATTTCAAAGAGTACATCCTCTGTGAGGTCTAAGTGAGGGGCTCAGATGCAGTCCCCTTCTGTGCCACAGGTTTTGGCATTGTTGTCCTCTTGGACCCCTGACCCCTTGGTAGACCACAGATCTGCCCCTCTTTCCTGGTTTCCCAATTGCCCATCCCTTTATTGATGCTCACTTGGGGTGGCATGCTATTGGATTAAATACCTCTTCTCTGAAGAAATGATGTCAAAGTTTCTTAATGAATTGAGTGATATCTGAATCTTTTTGGAGCCCTGTAGGGTGGCTTATGAGGCTTTTTTAGAACATTTCCTCTTTGGATCTAGCCTTCTGCCGGTGTGCACTGTTATTGCTGGAGCGGATAGGAGGCACCCTTATCTGCTCACTGATCTCTTGCTTTGGATGTTGCAGGGTTAAATGCAATGCAGTTACAGAATTTGGCTGCCCTAGCTGCTGCAGCTAGCGCTGCTCAGAACACACCAAGTGGTACCAATGCTCTCACTACATCCAGCAGTCCCCTCAGCGTACTCACCAGTTCAGGTAAGCATGTAATGGGCCAGTGGGCACTTGTGTGCCATGGGCAGAATCCCAAGAGGGGTATGTCACTCTGGAGAGTAGTTAACACTCGTTTCCAAAGGGGAACAGATTATGAACAACAAATTTTCAGATACCATATTCTGATTTAAGATACATCCCATAATTTTTAATTTCTTGTAACCATCATTTGGTTTTATGTACAGTAGAGACAGTTATCAAAATTAGTAACTGAAAACCTTTTTACAAAGAGAATACTTAAGTAGTATCACTCTTGGGCTTTGGTTCCTGCTGACATGAGAAGGCAAGTGTTGGCTTGAGTTTAACTCATGGGTTTCTGGTCACAGGGTCTTCACCGAGCTCTAGCAGCAGCAACTCTGTCAACCCCATTGCCTCCCTTGGAGCCTTGCAGACATTAGCTGGAGCAACAGCAGGCCTCAATGTCAGCTCTTTGGCAGGTGAGAGGGAGCCCCTGAGTATCATCAGGCTTTTGTACAGGTAGCACATTATAAATAACCCTGGTAATGGCACCGTTAAGAATAATTGAGTAGCCTAGTGAACTTAAAAATACTCAATGAGTTGCCCTGACTGGTGTGGCTTGTTGGTTAGGCATTGTCCAGTGCACCAAAAGGTTGCCAGTTCGATTCCCTGTCAGGGATACATGCACAGGTTGTAGGCTTGATCCCTAGTGGGATCAAGTGCAGGAGGCAGCGAATGGATATATTGCTCTCACATTGATGTTTCTCTTTCCCTTCCTCTCTCTAAAAATCTTTAAAAAAACAAAATCATGAGTTGAATCCCACCTCTGCCCCTTAACTAGCTATAACTTCTGACTACCTTTCCAAGGTCATTTTCTTATCTATGATGTGAGAATAGAATACTTTGAGGGTTATTAAGAATTTATGAGAACACAGGTAAAGTGCTGAGTACATTGCTCAGTACAGAATCTGGCACGTGGAATATATTCCATAATGTTAGTTGCTGTTTTTAATGATAGGGTTTACCCACATCTTGACATAGACCACATGTTCCCCCTTTAGTCCCCAATCCTGAAATTATTATTTATCAGAATCTGAGGAAGTGGCAGAAAATCCAAAGAGAAATGGGGAAAGTCATGTGTAAATTGTGTCATTTCTTGCACAGATTGGAAGAAGGTAAAGGGGAAAGCCACATCTGGGTGTGGCATTTTTTAATGTCCCCATTAGCAACAAGGCCTGGTGAGTGTCCTGAAGTCTGACCACTCACATGGCAAGGTGAAGCTAAGAGCAAGATGAAAGGGAGGGCTTTGGCATCAGTTGGGTCTTTCTAATCCTGTTAATCCTGTTCTCTCCCCCAACCAAGGGATGGCTGCTTTAAATGGTGGCCTGGGCAGCAGTGGCCTTTCCAATGGCACTGGGAGCACCATGGAGGCCCTCACGCAGGCCTACTCGGGAATTCAGCAGTACGCTGCCGCGGCGCTCCCCACTCTGTACAACCAGAATCTGTTGACACAGCAGAGCATTGGTGCTGCTGGAAGCCAGAAGGAAGGTGAGTGCAAAGGGTGGCTGGAGTCAGGAACAGGGTGCTTTCTCTGTCCGCACCAGAGCAGGAAGGTTTTGACAGTGTCAAAGATACTCTGAGGAACTCTTTAAGTGGGACCTGCTTTTGGAATGTTTTCTGGATGTGGCTCAGATCAGAACCTCTGTACACCTTTCTGGGATGGGGCTGCCATTTTTAGATGAAGAAACATACTGACCTTACTGTGTCTGACACCAGTTTGGAATCTGTTTTTATTAGGAAGTCTTCCCTGTGGATTAGAAATCTGTCAGAGGATATCTTCTGGGTAGGGGTCCCTTTTAGCTTTAGTATTTGGTGTTTTTCTCACTTTCTGATCTATGCTTTTCCTAATTGAGGACAAACTGAAGGCTGGTGGGACACAAAGAGTTAGGGCCCATGGGTTGATGCAGTGGGAAATATGTGTCTTGATATAAATGGTATTAAATTCAGGGGTGGCTTTCTAGGCAGAAAGAGGCCTGGAGGTGGTTCGTATGAATACAAAGTCCTGCTGACACCTCTTTGCTTGTGCTTGTATTATAACCAGGAGCTGGCAAGGTTTAAGCACTAATGTAGGAAAAAGATAAGTATTCTCTCTTGCCGTGGCAGCAAGGAGTCCTGGTCTAGCACATCCTCACCTGCTCTGAATCGGGCTTATGTGCCTTAGGATGTGGTAATGGGGAAACTGGTATGGAGGCAGACAATAAACCAGTAAAAAGCACGAGGTGTTCCAAATGATGCTTTGAAGAATGATGAACAGGAAAGGGGGGCGGGTGGGGAATGCCAGGGACAGCGTTTTCTACAGAATAGTCAGAGAGGTTTTCAAAGTTGCCATTTAAGTAGAGGAAGAGATGACGGGGACAGAGGAGCAGCAAGTGAGAAGGCAGAAATGGTCCTTAATATGTTTGACAACATCAGGGAGGACTGGCTGGAGAATGACTGCACTGTGGTTGTAAATGAAACTCTTTTGGTTAGAAAATTGTTGAGTGGTAGGAGGAGGAAAGCATATTCTATTTTTGAGCTCAATGTTAATCATAGTTTAAAATGTAATTTTTTTTTTTTACTGAGGCACAATTGACATAAGGTAAAATTTACCTTTTTTGGAATATAGCTCTATGAGCTTTGATGAACGCATACAGTCGTGTAACCACCATCACAGATGTAGAACATTTCTATCACCCCCAGACATTTCCTCATGTCCCTTTTTCTTCCCCCACTTCCTGCCTCTGGCAACTACCAGTGTATTTGCTGTCCCTGTAGTTTCTAGGCACAGTTCTGAAACCTGTTGTGTTTATGATCTCTTTCTACCTCCTTTTCTGTGTTTTTCTACAAGCGTCTAGTCTGGTGTTATGCTCCACCCGCAAATCTGCCAACTTTATTGTCTCAGCACACCTTCCTCCCACAGGTCGAATTCTGACATCCCTCGATGAGACAAAGAGCATAGCTAAATATGAGGGAAGGGATCTGTTTCAGTGATTGCCCTTCAGTTCCCTGCTTTGTATTTGGAGAATCTGTTTAGTTCTCCAAATAAATGAATCTGTTGGAGTGCCGATAATTTAACACGGGTGGGGGGGGGGATAAGAAACGGTGCCGGAGGACAAGCATGCTTTACACCAATATCTTTTCAATCAATGGATGTCTTGAAGGTCCAGAGGGAGCCAACCTATTCATCTACCACCTGCCCCAGGAGTTTGGAGATCAGGACCTGCTGCAGATGTTTATGCCCTTTGGGAATGTCGTGTCTGCCAAGGTTTTTATAGACAAGCAGACAAACCTGAGCAAGTGTTTTGGTATGTTGGCTTCTCTTCTGGTGTATGGGGGGGGAGGGGCTGATAGCAGAAACCTGGAATGGAGTTTGGGTTCTTGTTTAACTCAGCCTCGGGCAGATTACGTGACCTCTTTTTGAGCCTCCATTTATTTTCACTTCTGTAACAGGCACAGTGATTTCTGCCCAGACTCTCTCCAGAGAGTAAAATAATGTATGGGAAATGGATTGACCAAAATACTTAAAGTTACCATGTTGATGTCAAGTGGTACTGTTAGGAATCTAATTTAGTTTATGTGATACAATTTCCAGAATTCTTGTTCCTGCTGAGAAAAAGTGGGATTTGAGGCTAAGCTCATAAGGTACCACTCTTGCATAAGGACTGTGAATCTGCTTGCCTCATTATGTCCCTCACCTAGGCTTCTGCTTGGACACACAGGTTTTGTAAGTTACGACAATCCTGTTTCGGCTCAAGCTGCCATCCAGTCCATGAATGGCTTTCAGATTGGCATGAAGCGGCTTAAAGTGCAGCTCAAACGTTCGAAGAATGACAGCAAGCCCTACTGAGCGTGCTCCCCTCTGAGACTGGAGTGAGAGGGTCTTCTGGTAAGTTGGGGAGGAGCACCCTTAATGATTCGAAGCCCTAAGGCTGTGTGTTGACAGCCCTGGACCCTGATCCCTGCCACTCTCGCAGGCACAGCTTGCCCTGAAGACTCGGCTACTGCCTTCTGTGGGAGTTTCGCTTCGTACAGAGGACAAGTTTGTGCTTTGGTTTCCAGTGTTTTACTTTGGAGTTTAGGTGCCATATCCTGAGTTTTTTTCTTTATTTAAAGTTTGCTGTGTTTGTAACCAGTGTGTGTTGAGAAGGACCAACATCAAACCGCCCTGGGGGAGGAGGGGGGATGGAGAAACATTAAAGAAGATAAGAACTTGCCCAAAACTACCCCAAAAGAGAGGACTGAGTGAAACCAAAAACTGACCCCCAGAATCTCCCTGAGTGTGAGAGTGGATGAAGTGAGAGCTGATGTTCAAGAGCTGGGGGTGGGGGGAGGGTGGAACAGGTGGGGTTGGCTCTGGAGGAGAGTGAGAGGGACTTGACATCCACCTGGGAGGTGTTGGCTGAAACTCTCCCATAGCTGCCCTCTGGAAGCACTGAGATTCTGTCCAGGATTTCTTCCCCTCTTTCCCAAGAAGGGGATAACAATTCTCTGGAAATAAAACTTCTGTTAAACACCCTGACGTATGCAAAAAGCAGGGAGACATCACCCATTGCTGGCTTTTCCAGCCAGTCATTGGTATTGGGTTGGCCCTGTGAGGCTAGTGGCTGTTAGGAGGAAGTAGCCTGGTCAAACAGGTCAGTTTTAGTTTATTTGAACACCAGATCATTAGACCATGGCCCATTTCTCACAGGTCCTTTTAAAGAAGGCCTCCAGGGAAGACACTCTGGTTTCCTTCCTTGTAGTTGACCACAGCAAGGAGTGTCATTTTATCCCAAGCCACCGTTTTATCCTGAGGGCAGAACCAAGAAGGGCTTATAGTACCTGGCTGAGGGTGCACCTCTTCTGAGCAGAGTGATCAAAAGCCATCCAGCTGGGGGAGAGGAGCCTGCTTCTTGGTGTACCTGCATCAGAAGGTCCCTTCAAACCAGAGTGCTACATTTGCCAGAGGCCAGCCAGCACTTAGTACTTAAAAGGATTAAGAAATCCATGATTGCCTCTTTGGTTGAGGTGTCCCAGATGTAGTATTTTCACCAAGGCAGGCCCCTCTTCTGACCACTCTGGCCCTGTCTTCTTCTCTTGGGGACAGAGGAGACAACAGGACGTTTACAACCTCCATATGGATTTAGTGTTTATTTACCTCAGTATTACCATGTTCATTTTTGTCCACGTGCTTAGTTAGTCCCCTGCTGCCTCCCATGGGTCTCACTCCAGCTCTTGCCTATGATCCCCCAGCCTCTGGGCTCTGCCTCTGCTCCAAGAAATGCTGTGGGAGTGGAGAGCCAGGAAGGACATGCTGTTGGGAATGTGCACGTGGGCACAGGTAGCCCTGTTAGGGTATGACTCTTAGGCAAGGCCAGTGACTGGGTCCCTGGGATCTTAAATTTTACAAACATCAGTCCTGACCCCTATCAGCAGAGATGAGATTAAAGGGGTTGGTTTGCTAGTAAGTCTGATGGGGACTCTCGTCATGCTGTCCCTTAGGGTCACAGACAGGGATTGACCATTTTGCTGTTGTACAGGTAGTTGGTGTTGGGTGATCCCATTGAAGCTGGGACAGCTGTTCCTTTCTCATAGTGATAACTTGGGTCTGTTGTCCTCTAAGAAACGTGAAACATACTTCTTAAGCTGAACCACGTAAACTTGAATTCTGCGCACTGGGTGAAATGTGTCCTGTGTTTCAAGGATAAAACTGTTCCAAAGGCTTCCAGGGTCATGATGGGATTTTTTAAATAAATGCAAAAAATAAAAATAAAAAAGAAAAAAGAAAATAAAAAAAGAAAAAAATGCTAGGTTGGGGAGGCACTGTTCTGAATCCCAACCGGCTGGAATCAAGAATGTCGTTTCTATTTTTATAGAAGTTTTATACAGCTCCGGGGTGGAGAATATTTATTACCTAAATTATATCTCTGGAAAAGGCCAGGATTTTGTAGAATCCAGAATGTGATTGTTATACACACAGGGTGCTGTGTATGATTGAAACTACTGACTTTCTGTGGCCTGTTTGCAGCCCAGCTAATCTGCCAGAGGGGGAAGGAATTAATGCTGTGAATTGGCGGAGGAGAGAGCTGTGCTCTCCAGGGTGCTGTGGTGCTGTGATCACTGACCTTCTGTTCTGTCTTCCTCCTTGGCCATCGTGGGGTTTTCCAAATCCCAGAGTCCACTCCGTTCCCACTTTCCCCCCTTTCTCTCCCTCCTTCCCCACTTTACCATTATTGTCTACAGATTTGTCCTTGGTTCTGGGGCCTTCAGAAACCCCTTTCCAAATGACGTGACATGAAAAGCAAAGTTGTAATCAACCTGCCTTTGATACCAGACCCTGAGGTTTCATACCTGCTTGTGGGTTCTCTTCTCTAAAAGGTGCATTTGCCCCAGCAGGGCCCTGGGCTGCCACAGTGGCCAGCTGGTGAGACTGGGCACCTCTGTTCTCCTCTCCCCTGCCCAGTGAGTAAGCACAGCAGCACTGTCCTTGAGCACAGTTTTCTCCCCGGCCAAAGATGGTTTTGTGAAGAAGCTGCTCCCCTACAAGTCTCATGGTGTGAAAGGGTTCAGCTCGGAGAGAGGAGACTCGCAGTCAAGTCTTAAGCAGTCTTTTACTGTTGTGTGGGGGTTTCACTTACATAAGTGTGTGTTTTCTCCTGTAGTTTTGTTTCTTACTTGGGTTTTATCATGAAATTGATTTGCCTTGAATGCAACTAGACATTGTCTCCTGGATCCTACATGAGTGGCCAGGGCCTGCGTGGAAGCTAAGAGCTTGGATTTCTGGGAACAAAGAGCCATCCCCGTAAGATTGAGGAGAAATCCTGTCCCTAAAGAATTCTCCCATCCCAGGCTTCTCCTTTCTTCCTGGGTCTTAAAACAGGGAGCTGGGGGTGCTGAGGCTCTGCTCTACCAGAGATCTCAGATGCGCGTTTGGACGCTTTGGGGGAAATCCAAGCCTTAGTTTCCCTTTGTCTCTGGCAGTTGGATGTTTTCTTGGTGTCCTCCATGTCCTTTTTGACTTTTCCCTGTGTCCATTGTTAGCATGTGCAAAAGTTCCCTGTCATTACCCAGCCCCTGCCCCCCGCCCGCCTCCTCATTTCAGGGCTGTACACAGTGAGTGTTCCTGTTCTCTCTCTCTTTGTTTGGATGTATTGCTCTGTGTAACTCAGTGGGTCTCCCTCTTTCTGGTTTGTTTTTTTTTCTAGATTCCTGCCGTTTGTTCATCGTTGTGCCTAAAGCATGTCGATGTGGCGTCAAGTACATCGTCCAAATCCCTGTCTCTTCAGCTTCTCTGATGCTTGAACTCTCACCTTTGACCTTGTGTTGACCTTTGATGCTGATGTGTATTTTTATTATGTTTGTTTCTTTCTTTGTTTTTTCTTTTTTCTTTCCTTTTTTTTCTTTTGTGCTGCCAAATTGGTTTTGCTAGAACGACTGCTGAAGGGGAAATATTTAAACTTGCATTTGAATATAAAAAAATCTATTTTTCTAGAACTTCATAAGATAACCACTTGATTTTGTGATTCCAATTCTTTGTAATTGTCTTCAGAGCAGCCCTACTAGCACATACCGCGTGGTGTTTGTATTTCTGTGAACACACAGCCAGTCCGTTTCTAGGCTTTGTTTCGTGTGCTTAGTTTTAAAGACAACTTTGAAGTAAACAATGAAATAAAAGATGTCACTGAAACCTTTGAGGCTCCTGAGCACATTTTGCTGATACAGTTTGTGGGGCTTGAGGAGACCACATGTGTTCTTATTTTTGTTTTTCTGAGTTCTCAACTGCAGAAAACACCTGAACCCCTTTCCTTTTTGACAGCAGGCTGCAGTTTGAGCCCCAGCCAGCCCTTTTCCTTTTGAGGTTCTTCCCTGCAGCCACCCTGCAGGGAGACTTCAGAACCCTCTGGCCTCTTCCCTCAGCCCACTGTCCCCACCTCTATGCTTGTTCCTACAGAATCCACAGCAAAATGTGATACTTTGATTTTTTTTTTTGTATTGTTTTTGTGCTTTTGTTTGGAATTTTTTCCTTTCCTACTAAGATTATGCCCAGAAAAAACAAGTTTTGCATGTTTCCTGCTGTTTCTTCACACCTTCTTATATATCACCTTCACCTCTCTGTTTTCTATAGTTTGTGCAAAAACTGACCGATTTAAAAGGGTTTCAAAGAAGCTATTTTAAATTGTTGTGGGGTTGATTATTTTTTTCAAGATTGTATTGTTTTATTTGAAGTGGCATCTTTCTCCTCTATCGCCCTTCGAGCGTTTGCCTGTGCACTTAGACTGTCACCTCACGTGGCCTCCAGGCCTCAGCAGGGTTCCAGGAGGCTGGCTGCTCTGCTCAGAGACAGGTTGGGAGGGTGCCCGGAGAGGCACGAGGAACAGAGGTAGAATCCAGAAGGTGGCTGCGGGTGGGCAGGAGGCTTAGCGCATCAGGGGTAGTGAGCATCCCCCGGCCCAGAAGGAGGAGGGTGCTCTTGACCACTCGGAGGAGGCCATCTGTGCACTAAGAGGCAGTACACCTGCCAGCGCTTTTCCTAGGTGACAAGCACAATACTACAGTCTTCACACTGTTTACAGCCCTGGCCACCAGCCACCCCACACTGGCTCTTTACCGCAGTTCTGCTCTTGCTTTAGCTAGTGAGATGGGGTGAAGGTGGGGATTTGTTTTTTAAAATTGGGTGAAGAGCCAAATAGCTACTGTCCCTGGGTGCCAGGCAAGCCAGTTCCTTGGTTCCCTGAAGGGAACTTGCCCTCCTCTCTGTGGCATTATCCAGCCTCAGGGTCTTAGCGACTTGAGTAAGAATGTGAGTGGCCGAGGGAGAGGCCAAAGGAGATGAGGGGTCACAGGATGGATCTGTGGAGGTAAAAGGTTGCAGAGGGAGGAGTTTTGATACATCCTGGTGAGCGGGAGAGCTGGGAAGCAGGATTGTCCAGGGAAGGGTGGAGAGGGAGGGGTAGCCGAGGGCTGGGGGAGGGGGTGGGGAAGGTAGAAGCACTGTTAGCATCATCCATGCTGGGGTTGATGAAGGAAAGGATCCCAGCAGAATTTCTGGTCTGGGACTCAGTGGGTTGCCTAGTATTATGCTTGAGGCCACTCTTACTAGAAGGAAAGGGAGGCCAAATGGAGGCCCAGTGTATGGTAGACTGCTTAATTTCCTGGAAGGGGCGATTGGATGGAAAGAGGCCAGGAACCCCAGCCTGAGCAAACTGCCGTGCACCCCACAGTCTGACTGCACAGAGCCGCCTCTGTTGGCAGAAGGCGCTGAGGCTCCCCCTTCCTGTGTATTCAGAATCCGTGTTTGCCAATATATTTTGCTTTTAATTCCAAGAGGAGCTCTGGGAAAACCTGTGGATAAAACCAAATGCCAAACGTTGGACGTTTCCTTTTCCTTTTCTCTGATTGTTTTAATTGTTCTGTGGTGGTTTTAATGGATTTGAGACCCTGGAGCGGCAGCTGCCTTTCTGATTTCCAGCTGCTTTTTGTGAATAATTTAAAAAGAAAAAAAAAAAGAAACTTTACATTTTGAAGACAAACCTGTGTGAGTTTTTTATTGGTACAAACGTTGTATTTAACACTAGGGGTTTTGTACAGTTTTTTGCCTTTTCTACTAGAAAACAATGTAAAGTGATTTCACAATGTGAAGAGAAAAAATTGCCACTATGACCAAACGCACAGTCTGTTCTGCAGCAACAACGGGATTCAATCAACTCAGAGTCGTGATTCAGCCGTAGAAATGCTTTTCCTTTACCTTGTTTGAGCTTTTTCTTTCTTCCCTGTTTTGATTTGCAAAAGAAAATGTCTTTTTTGTGTGAAGTTGTGTTGTACTATGTAGAAAATTATGGATTTTACTTTAATGGTTTAAAAAAAAAGGCAAGAAGAGCCCTTGTCGCTTTTCTGACCTGATCACAGAGTTTGTGTAGTGAATTAAAAAAGAAAAAAAAATTGTTACAAGTTTGGAGCAAGGGAGTATGTGTTTAAAAGGAATCTCCTTTTTTTGTGTGTTTTTCCTTTTGTCCCAATGGGGAACCTAAATCTGTTTTAATTGCACAGACACACGGACAAAAAGTCATTTTGTATCTGCCAAGTGTGGTACCTTCCTTTGTTTATTTGCTATTAAACTGTTTGAGAAGAACTGGTGTTGTCTTCAGAGTTATTGATTGGGGCAGGCGGTGGGTTGGGGGCTGGTGGGGTT